GAAACACAATTGGGAATCAGACAAGACTGATGATTTGTTCAACTCCTTCATCCTGGCTGATGCTCTGCAGAGCTGGGGGGGGCTCCATCCCCACACCATCAGGCACTGCAACAGAGCTGGGGCTTTTCATCTGCGTTCAGGCGGTTTAGATGCTGTTCCCTTGACGGCAAAAGCAGCTTTAGGTCCTCGGCAAGGTTTGGATGAAGGTCCTCAAACATAAACCCTCCTCAGTGCCAGGCTCTGGAGGAGACCTTGGTTGCTCCAGCAGGAAAGCGCGGTGCTGGGGACTGGTAATGCCCAGAAGCTGCCTCAGTGGCATCTCTGCTCTCCAGGTGCCCAGGGAGCAATTGTGGAATGCAGCAAGGAAAAACTCCTTTGGCTTGCCAGGGGGGTTTGGCTCAGTGTGAATGTGGTGCCTGCTGTGGCGACAGGGAAAGCGGCTTTTGTGACAGTGAGCACTGTTGGGTGCTGTCCTCAAAATGCCCCCAGGCCAGCCCTGAAATACCAGCCTGTTGAACTGAGACTCTCATCTTTAGGTGCCATGGGCAGAGCAGGCCAGGGTCTGTGCCATCTGCTGATTGCTTTTGCCCCTCTCCATGCTTGTCTGCCTGTCTGCATGGCCCTCGCAAGGAGAGGTGTCACGCTGCAGAGCAGCATTGACTGTTCTGCTTCCTCTCTCAGCCTTACCTGCAGGAGTTCTCCTGGGCTGTGTGCCCCTTATCAATGGGGCCCACAAACCACACTCACCCCCAAAGCTTCCTTCCTCAGGAAGGAAATCAAACAGCACAACCGGGGTCCCAGGGGCACTGCTTCCATGGAAAGCTGCTTGTGTGGCACCTCCCCTTGGTTTGGCCTGTGACCCACCAGTGAGAGCATGTGGCCTGGCTTGAGGGCAGCTTAAGAACATCTCCTCGGGCTCTCTGCTCCCTGCTTTTACAGCTTGCACTAGGTATCCTGCAGAGGTGTGTTGGCAGGAGGGACAGGACCTGGGACATCCAGATCCTGCTCTGTGCCACTCTAGGTCTGCACTGAGAGCAAGAGCGGTGCCTAGGCTGATGGTTTGCGTGCATTGATCCTGCATCCGGCTGTCAGCAGCAGGTCCATGCCAGCCCCAGGCAGTGGGGTCAGCTTGCTGCCCCTTCCCTGTGCACCGTCACTGCAGGGCCAGGGGTCTGGATGCTTTGCAACTGGGTTTTTTTTTGCCCTCTCCAGGAGAGAAATGCAGACGTGTGATGTGAAACCTCCCCTGGTGTGACTTCAGGGAAGGGGTTTTTCTCTCAGGCCTGTGTCAGTGATGAGCTCGGTTCCTGGAGGCTTGGCACTCACTGCCTGGTACTGATTGAACAGGAAGGAAAGAGGCAGGCTGGGATTCCCCCAGGAGCCTGCAGTTTCAGGTTCAGTGCAGAAGCTGCTCGCAAAGGTCCACTGTGTCTCACACATGTACCCATTGAAGCCAGCAGAACCCTGGGCCCTTGCGGTGCCATTCAGCACATCCTCCCCCTTGGCAGGTGGGAAGGGGGCTTTGGAAAACCCCGATCCCCTGCACCCCTCAGCCTTGCTGCCATGGGGAGGCTGCCAACTTGAGTGCCAGCGGAGCCAACCGTCCCCTTGCAGGCCCTGCTGGGTGCTGTGCTGGTGACTCTGGCCTGGGATGTCAGAACAGAGCTGAAAACGGGGAGGTGAAGCGAAGCTGGTTCTGTGGTTGGGCCAGGACGAGCCTCAGCCCCCGAGGTGCAGTGCTGGCTCACCTGGAGCAAGCCGTGCCCGCTGGCTTCCCCTCTTCCTGCTCAACACCAGCAATAGTAAGACCTGTTTTCTGTACCATAAGCTTGCACAAGGTCTTTGCCCTGTTAAATCCTATGCAACTCCCTCTCCTCTCCCCTGGGGCTCTCCACATCCCATCCCAGCCCGTTCTTCCTGCTCTTGTCCGTGACTGCTGAGTTCCTGCTCCCTGCTGCTCTTCGGGTCCAGCTTCATTTCTAGCAGCTCCAAAAGCATTTCAAGGCCTGTGCCCTGGAGCTGGGAGGGGGTAAAGAAGGGGTGAGACCAGAGGAACATCCCTTCCAACTCACGCTGCAGGAGCTAGCAGTGAATTGGAGAGGGCAAGGCCTGGTCCTAGGGCTCCTCCATTGCACCCTTCACTCTCCTGTGCCTTCTGCTCAATACTTGGTGGCTCCCTGCCAGCATCCTTCATCTCGCACCGTCTCCCCCAGTACCCCTTGAATGGAGAAGCTGTGTCCCACCTTGTTGCTGCCCACCTCTACAGACTGCTCTGTTAATGCCTGAGCCTTGGGCTTGGCTTGGCTTGGTCTTCCTTCAGCCTCCCCAAGCCTGAAGGTGTGTTTTCCTTCCTCCTGTGCACCCCAGTGTGTGCAGCCAGCACCTCCAAGCTGTTCCCCTTCATGCACAGGCATCGTGGGCTCCTTCACAGGGAGGCAGGACCATGCCACTGCTGGCCCATCGGCTGGGGCAGAGGCTTGAGGATTCAGGAGGTGGATGCTGTGGGTAGGTCCCATGGCGTCACCGCCCCTCCTTGGCCTCGGGGCTGGTGTGGGGGGACCCGGTGCTGTGCTCAGAGGTTTGCTCTTCAATTCCCCCCTTCTGGAGAATCAGCACTGCAGTGCCTTTGCCTGTGGGGCTCCTGCATGAGCCGAGCGTGGAGGAGGGCTCTGGTGAGGACGATGCAGGCTGCAGGTGTCCTTTCTGCCAAACCTTGTGTGTCCAGCTCGCCCCACATCCCCTGGGGATGCAAGGGGCAGCCCTGCCATGCGTCTCCACACCAGTGTTTGTGTTCCTCTGCTTTTGTACACCTTGGGTCTTGCAGTACCCACCATGGGCCAGCCAAGCACCCCCCCAAGCTGGAAGGAGAGGGAGCAAAACTCACTCCTTCTCACATCTCAATACAGTGCAGGAGAGCAAAGGGCTTTGTGCCTCTCAGAATGGGGCGTCCCGGACACCGAGGCCTTTTGCTGAAGAGCATCCCCGGGGCTGTGCCCATGGGAGCTGTGGGGCTCCCCATGGCAGCGAGCTGGGGACACCACGGCTCCCCCTTCCCGGTGCTACGTCTTCCCAAATCACTTGAAACCCACCAGCGTTGGAGCCCAGCCACGTGCCTGGACCAGGCAGGAAATGACCCCTTTGCTCTGGAGGGCTCAATGGGGAAACGAAGCGTTCCTGGGGTTGCTCTTTCCGCTCTATTTTTGTAGGACAGGGGATGGGAGATCCCTGCAGAAGTCGTTTATTATTCGCCCCATAGAGAGTTTTGGGTTGGTTTTGAGGGGTTGTTTTTTTTTTTTTACCCTTCAAAACCAACCAAAACTCATCCTTGCTTTTGATGTTTATGCTGCCTACCTGTAAATCCAGATGTACTTAAGTGGCTGAAATCCTTGTTCTTAAATCAGATACACATTATAGTTTTGAACTATATATATAGTAAATATATATATATATATGCCTAACCCAGCAAAAAAATTAAAGGGAAAAAAAAAAGGTCTTTGGGGGTGGGAAATGTCCTTTGAAATGAATCACAATTGGGGGATAAAATTGTGTTTCTGAGTGCCTCAAGATATGAATTGTTTTCATTTTTTTAAATAATTTTATACAAGTGTCCAAACAGCTGGCTGGATTATTTGGAATTTTGAAATAATCCTAACTTTTTTAAAGTAGACTTTGAGAACTGTCCTGTATATAACAGTAATGTAGCAATAAATGTGACCTTTTATAACAATAGCCCTTAACCTCGTTCTTCTTGCCCGGGTCTTTTCAGCTGTGGTGCACCTGCGAATGCAAAGGGGTCCTAAAGGCTGTGCCTTGGCCAAAGAAGAAGGAGAAGACACTGCAGGTTTAGAACAGAATCATGGAATGGTTTGGGTTGGAAAGGACCTTAAGAGCATCCAGTTCCAACCCCCTGCCGTGGGCAGGGACACCTCACACTAAACCATGCCACCCAAGGCTCTGTCCACCCTGGCCTTGAACACTGCCAGGGATGGAGCATTCACAACCTCCCTGGGCCACCCATTCCAGTGCCTCACCACCCTAACGGGAAAGAGTTTCCTCCTTACATCCAGTCTAAATCCAGTGTTCCCAGACACTGAGCACTCACTTTCTGTTCCTGCGTGCCGAGCATGGCTCTGAGCTCCCCACATCACCCCTGTGTCACATCCAGAGCTTGCAGAGGGCCATCAGAAAGCCTTTGACAGTCGCGTGGAGGTGCCGGGGTCTCCCTGCTGCAGCACAGCTCCTCCTTGGGGCGATGCTCTGGTGGATGCTGTGGTCCACGGGGTCCTCCGCCACCTCTCCGTGGTGCAGATCTCGGTGCCGGCTGCGGTTTAGCCCGGGTTGCATGGAGCATCTCCTTGGGTGTAGCTGGGAATGCAGCCCCTGCGTGTCCGCGGACAGGGGAGGTTGCAGCAGTCTTGGCTTCCTTGCCTCTGGGGAGCACCCAGTGAAGGCAGCACTGGGAGGGTGCAGATTGGAAGTCAAGTCAAAGACACCCAGCCCTTCCCAGGAGCCCAGCGTAGGGTAATGGGGGAGAGACATCACTGCGAGAGAGACATGGAGGTGCTGGAGAGGGGGTCAACAGAGCCGGAGCCTGAGTGTGATGGGGAACGGCTGAAGGACTTGGGGGGGTTCCCATGGAGAAGGCTCGGGGGGGGGGACCTGATGGCTCCCTACAAGTGCCTGGCAGGAGGATGGAGCCAGATGGGGCTGGGATCTGTCCCCCCAAGGGGCCTCAAGATGCACCCTTTGGGGTGGAAGCTCACCCAGTTCCATCGCCATCGCCACGGGCAGGGACACCTTCCACTAGGCCAAATGGATGCGCTCATGTTTGATGCGGGCATCACGGGGCCATGAGGGACGAAGACCGGGAATGGCGGATGCAATCCGCCATTCCCGGTCTTCGTCCCTCATGGCCCCGTGGATGGGGGGTGTTGCCATGACAACGCCGCTTGACTCAGGCAGCGCCGAGGGCAGCCCCATGCTCGGCGCTGCCTCACGAAGGCCCCCGCGGCTTGCTCATGCGCAGTGGGGGTGACTTTGAGGCCGTGGTGTCGGCGCTATGCTGGCCAAGGTGCTCGGGCCGCGCTACGCCCAGCTCCTGCAGACCTGGTGAGGGCGGGGGCGGGTTAGGTTCGGGTTAGGTTCGGGTTGGGTTCGGGTTGGGTTCGGGTTCGGGTTGGGTTGGGGTTGGGGTTGGGTCGGGTTCGGGTTCGGGTTAGGTTCGGGCTCGGGTTGGGTTCGGGGTGGGTTAGGTTCGGGTTCGGGCTCGGGTTGGGTTCGGGCGCGGTTCGGGTGCGGTTCGGGTTCGGGTTAGGTTCGGGTTGGGGTTGGGTTCGGGTGCGGGTTCGGGTTGAGTTCGGGTTAGGTTCGGGTTGGGTTCGGGTTCGGGTTGGGTTCGGGTTGCATTCGGGTGCGTGTTAGGTTCGGGTTGGGTTCGGGTTCGGGCTCGGGTTGGGTTCGGGTTAGGTTCGGGTTGGGTTCGGGTTGGGGTTGGGTTGGGTTGGGGTTTGGGTTGGGTTGGGTTCGGGTTCGGGTTAGGTTCGGGTTCGGATTGAGGTTGGGTTCGGGTTGGGTTCGAGGTTGGGTTCGGGTTGGGTTCAGGTGCGGGTTAGGTTCGGGTTGGGGTTGGGTTCGGGTTGGGGTTGAGGTTGGGTTCAGGTTGGGTTCGGGTTGGGGTTCAGGTTGGGTTCGGGTTGGGTTCGGGTTCAGGGTGGGTTCGGGTGCGGTTCGGGTTGGGGTTGGGTTCGGGTTCGGGTTAGGTTCGGGTTGGGGTTGGGGTTAGGTTTGGGTGCGGTTCAGGTTGGGGTTGGGTTCGGGTGCGGGTTGGGTTCGGGTTAGGTTCGGGTTGGGTTGGGGTTGGGTTGGGTTGGGGTTGGGTTCAGGTGCGGGTTAGGTTCGGGTTGGGGTTGGGTTCGGGGTTGGTTCGGGTTAGGTTCGGATTGGGGTTGGGTTCGGGTTGGGTTGGGGTTGGGTTCGGATTAGGTTCGGGTGCAGGTTCGGGTTGGGTTGGGGCTGGGTTGGGGTTGGGTGCATGTTCGGGTTGGGGTTGGGTTCGGGCTCAGGTTGGGTTCGGGTTAGGTTTGGGTTTGGGTTCGGGTTGGGGTTGGGTTCGGGTTTGGGTTCGGTTCGGGCTGCGGCTCGGGTGCGGGCTCGGGGGTTCGGGTGTGGGTCCGGGTTCGGGCTCGAGTTCGGGTCCGCGTGCGGGCTCGGGGGTTCGGGCTCGGGTCTGGGTTCGGGCTCGGGCTCAGGTTTGGGCTCGGATTCGGGTCCGGGTTCAGGATCGGGGGTTCAGGCTCGGGTTTGGGCTTGGGATCAGGTTCGAGCTCAGGTTCGGGTCCGAGCTCAGGCTCGGGTGCGGGCTCGGGCTCGGGTTTGAGCTTGGGTTCGGGTGCGGGATCGGGTTCGCGTTCGGGTTCAGGTTCGAACTCGGGCTCGGGTCCGGGCTCGGGTTCGGGCTCGGGCGCTCCAGGAGCCTGAGGGGCTTCCCGAGGCGGTTCCATGCGCCTCGGCCTTGTCCCGTGGGTCTGGTCAGTGCGAGGCCCGGCTGGGTTTGAAGGGGGTTGTTGAAGGGGGGTCGGTGCTGCCTCGCCGTGGTTCGGTGTGTTCGGGGGACCCAGGGCTGTGAGGAACGTGGGGTGAGCAGGGACTGGAGCAGCTCCTGCAGGGAGCCAGGCTGGGAACATTGGGGCTGTTGAAGAGAAGCTGCGTGGAGACCTCAGAGCAGCTCCCAGTGTCTGAAGGGGGCTACAAGGATGCTGGAGAGGGACTCTTCATCAGGGACTGCAGCGATAGGACAAGGGGTGATGGGTTCAGACTGGACCAGGGGAAGTTCAGGTTGGAGATAAGGCAGAAGCTCTTCCCTGGGAGGGTGCTGAGGCGCTGGCACAGGGTGCCCAGAGAAGCTGTGGCTGCCCCATCCCTGGCAGTGTTCAAGGCCAGGTTGGACACAGGGGCTTGGAGCAAGCTGCTCCAGGGCAGGGGTCCCTGCCCGTGGCAGGGGTTGGAGCTGGAGGAGCTTTAAGGTCCCTTCAACCCAACCCAGGCTGTGGGTCTGTAAATGCTGCAGCGCCAGCGAGTGCCGCTTTGCAGGGTTGTGTGAGGGCAAACGGTGTAGCCTGAAGGCTCGGATAAAGCCATCGTGAGTATTGCAGTGCAATGGTTAAAGAAATCCATGCATCTTTTCCTGTCTTGGTAACGCTCTTCTTACGTGAAATCACATCAAGCTTTTCTCTTGACTGGGTTGGGGTCTGATGCTTTATGAGATTCTCCAAGATTCCTGCCAGGCTTTTCCCTTTTATTCAGAGGACTTCCCCAGGTGCCTTAGCATTTGTCAGACCTTTCACAGTGGAGAATTAATGTTGTTTACCAGCAGCATTATGTGTGTGTGTCTTCCTTAGGACTCCCACCCTCGTGACGTGGGGTAGTGTGGCTGGTATCGGTGTAATATGGGGCACAGACTGGAAGCTGGTCCTTCAATATGTTCCCTACATCGGTGGCAAGTATAAAACTGAAGACTAAGCTTCCCTCTAATGGTAAGTGCTGGTGGTGCTTCTCTTAGCTGGAATAGTAGCGTGGGCTTGGTGTGACACTTGATGAGCCCGGTCTGGCCAGGGCACAGTCAGGTACTAATACGCTCAATTTGAGTGTTCAGGACTTTTTCCCTTTCTGTCTGGGGCTTCCCAGAGCGCCAGGAGGATGAAATCTGAACCCAAATCTAATTTTCAAGTGAATATTGTGCAAGTGGTGGATTCTTCCCAAGCTGGTGTAGTTCTTGCGAAGTCAAATCAAGTTGTTGATGCTGAACTGAGGAGCGTTCCGAGGCAGAATGGCTTCAAACTCCTGACTTTTTTTGTTGCTAGGTGACTTCAGACTCCTTTCTGCTCCTTGTATCTCTCATTAAATGTAAAGTGAATGTTCAGGGCTTGTTACTCTACAAGAAATTCATTGGAAAATTGGCTTTCTCAAGTGATTTTCATTTCCTTCTTTAATTGCGTATGAGATGTGTTGTTCTGAATCTGACTCTGCCCCTCTGCTTTTGTGAGACCCCACTTGCAGCACTGGGTGCAGTGCTGGTGTGCTCAGCACAAGGACATGGAGCTGGTGGAGCAAGTCCAGAGGAGACCACGAGGATGCTCGGGGGCTGGAGCAGCTCCTGCATGGAGCCAGGCTGAGAACATTGGGGCTGTTCAGCCTGGAGAGGAGAAGCTTCGTGGAGACCTCAGAGCAGCTTCCAGTGTCTGAAGGGGGCTACAAGGATGCTGGAGAGGGGCTCTTCATTAGGGACTGGAGCGATAGGACAAGGGGTGATGGGTTCAAACTGAAACGGGAAGCTCAGGTTAGATCTTAGGCAGAAGCTCTTCCCTGTGAGGGTGCTGAGGCGCTGGCACAGGGTGCCCGGAGAAGCTGTGGCTGCCCCATCCCTGGCAGTGTTCAAGGGCAGGTTGGACACAGGGGCTTGGAGCAAGCTGCTCCAGTGGAAGGGGTCCCTGCTCATGGCAGGACCTGGAGCTGGGTGAGCGTTAAGGTCCCTTCCAACCCAAACCAGGCTGGGATGCTCTGACTGTAAACATGTACAAGTGCATCTTGTGGGTGTCCCCACAGGTCAGTGGAAAAGCTCTCGTGTTATGTAGAGGCAGTGAAGTGACCTTGCATTACTTTAAAGTTGTTTTAGCCAGTAATAGGAACATGGATTTGTTCCTGAGACAACAGCGATGTTCTTTGTGTTGAAGCAAGAGCTTTGAGGTGTCATTGTGCATAAATCATCTGGGGAGGAGCAGAGGAGGAGGCCGTTGCTGTGGTGGTCTGTGATTCCTTCCAAAGAGCCTGTAGGCCTGCCTGCCTTCTGCTCTGCCTGTACCAGCTTCTGCAACAGAAACTTCCTACCTGGATACTGGAGGCTTTTGAAGTGTGTCTGTGGTGGTGGCTGCTGTAGGAAGCACTGCTTAATGACTTGCTGTGTGTTTATTGTAGGAAATGGATTGCTGGATAGTGTTTTGGAGCCGTCCATCCGCTGAGACCCTGCTTCGAGGTGAACTCGAAATGCCCAGTAAGGATTCTGCAACAGGTCCTGGTGTCCTCCTCTCCCATGAGCAGCTCTGACCACTTGGTTGGGAACACGTCTAACTCCACTGGCCAGCCTGCCTCGTGTTCTTCCACTCATCACTGTCACAGCAACTCGTGTTGTCATGGGAGGAGTTCATAAACCTGATGGACAAAATAAACCGAGTGACTTACAGTTTTGCCTTTTTTTGCATGCGTGTTCCCTTCTCAGGCCACGTTCTTCAGGCTGGACTTGTTGGGGTTATGTCTTCAGCTCGTTTGGATGTGTGTCCTAAGGAGGAGCGTTTGCCTTTCATCTATACCCATTCCTCAGGCATCAAGCAGGGGATGCTGGGTTGGATGAGCCTCTGTTTGTGGGTAGTTTTTGCTCCTCGCTCCTCATACTGCTGTAGCTCTTGAACTGTTCTTAGTTACGTCTTCATTTTAAGCTAATCATTCCCACATCAGTAGCGCTTTGGACTCATGCATGCAGTTAGCTTTTCATAGCCAATATTGCAGTGTTTTATGGTACTTAGTTTAAAGGAAGGTTTTGCATCCTTTTACCATCAAACTGCCTGGTGGGGCACATATCATTTTGAAGCAGTGGGTCCTGTCTGAAGACCAACTTGGTTTAACCTAGGGGCTCAAGGCAGGCAGTCTGCAAACCCTGAGGGGCTTTTCATGTACAAGTGGTTTAAAGAGCTGCTTGGTCACTTTCTTAATGTGCAGTTTGAGTAGGGAAAGAATCTATCTGTACTTCATGCATCTCATTGTATTTGTGTCATGGTTTAACCCCAGCTGGCATTACAGGGGTACACCACCAGGACAATTCATCACCGTAAACTGCTGATGAAACAGAGCCCTTGAGGTGAAAACGCCTTCAGCTGATAGAGAAAAGAAGTGCAAGAAACACAAAACCTTTGTGTAAGAGCAGCATCACTGTTTTCTCTCCTGGCCCCTAAACAGGGCCAGATTTTCTCTCTGGCCCTAAACAGGGCCAGATTTCACCGTGTTATCATTTTGGGCTATCAAGAAATGGTCCAACCTCTTAAGGGAAGAAGCTGTGTCGCAGCAGTTGTGCTGCAGGGCTGAAGGCTTCCGAGTGGTATTTGTATGGAAAGCTGTTGTAATCCCTGCCCAAACGGTGGCACTGTGCAGGATGCTTCAGCTATTTCCTGAACAGAGTAATTGCTTAAGCATTGCTTTGGCATCACCACTGATAACGAATTGGGGGGGGGCAGGGAATATAATCACATACAAAACACTCTTTGCTGCCCTGCTACATCCAACAGAACAGGGCAGAAGCTTATGGTATGCAGGGATGACCATGCTGTTGCCTCCATCTCTCCCGCTGCCTCGCTCCAGCAGCGCTCCTGAATTCCTGGTTGACTCCCAAAAGGCCAAAGCCGCTGTGCCTTGGAATACTGAGAATGTGGGTTTGACAGCAGCCCTGTGCTGGGCACAGAGGTTTTGGTATCGATCTGTTTTCACCCTGAAAGGGGACATGATGCCAGCCTGATCTCACACCTCATCAGGACTGGAAGCTCTGACCTGGAACAGTTGGAGCCTCTGCTCGTACCTGTTGAACGTGTCCAGACAGGACGGGCAGAATGTGCTGCTGCTGCTGCCTTCAGACACCACCAAGTCTGGGCTTGCTCCCTCTGCTCCTGCAGATGAGGGAGCCCTTCAGAAGGCCTCGAACTTGCTCTGCCTGTGTTGCCCACTCGCCCAAGGCTCCTTGTTGTCAGTCTGCTGCTCAGACTGGGCTTACCTTTAGCAACGCCCCAGTGAGAGCACTGTGTGCAGCACATGAGATCAGAAGGTGTTGAAAGGAGAAAACCATATTCAGTATTTGCAGGCACTGTGAGAAACGTGGACTTGGCCTTCAGGGATTGTGGAGCTGCTTGTGTTTTCTGCAGCTTTCCCAACGATGTCCCTATTACCCTGTAATTCCTGATATTTCTCCTTCCAGGAGAGCAGAAGGACTCCAGAAATACTCTATTGGAAATATCTTCTGCATCCTCTGCAGAGAACCCCCCCGCAGCCCTGATCCAGCTCTGGGGCAGCAGCTCAAGAGGGACGTGGAGGTGATGGAGAGAGGCCAGAGGAGTCCATGGAGATGCTGTGAGGGCTGGAGCAGCTCTGCTCTGGAGCCAGGCTGAGAGCTGGGCTGGGGCAGCCTGGAGAAGAGAAGGCTCCTGAAGGGGAGACCTGAGAGCAGCTCCCAACCCAAATCATTCTATGATTCTTGGGCAAATTTCTGCTCAAATAATTACTGTTCAGGTGTGATCAGTGATCCCTCTGGTTTGCAGTATCCTGGCATTGCCTCTTTTCTAGCAGTTGATTATTGTTCAGAATGAGCCCACCAAATGTCACATCCATTACATGAACTAATCAGTGAAAAGACAAGGACGCAACAGAGGAGAAGAAACTTCAGATCCTGGTGAGTTCCACTGGAGGGGACAGTGGGAGGCAAGTGCACAGAGCCTTGGAAATCAAAGATCAGAGAACCCCAGCCTGGGTTGAGTTGGAAGGGACCTTAAAGCTCATCCAATACCACGGGCAGGGACCCCTTCCACTGGAGCAGCTTGCTCCAAGCCCCTGTGTCCAACCTGGCCTTGAGCACTGCCAGGGATGGGGCAGCCACAGCTTCTCTGGGCACCCTGTGCCAGCGCCTCAGCACCCTCCCAGGGAAGAGCTTCTGCCTAAGAGCTCAGCTCAGTCTCCCCTCTGGCAGGTTCAAGCCATTCCCCTTGGCCTGTCCCTACAGGCCCTTGTCCCAAGCCCCTCTCCAGGTTCCCTGCAGCCCCTTCAGGCACTGGAGCTGCTCCCTCCACAGCCAAGTTTCCCCTCTCCCTGCACGGGTTCCTCCCGGCCGGGTCTGGGTTCGGGGATGGCGCCGGTGCCGCTCCCGCTCCGTTGTGTCCCCGGGAGAGCTGCGGCGGGGGAGACACCGGATAAGCGCGGTTCCCGCCAAGCGGGGCGGCGGGGAGGGACTATATCCTTGCGGAGGGATCCGGCGGCAGCGATAAGCGGCGACGGGAGGGGCGGGCACGGGGCCGCGGGGGCGGGCGGAGCGGAGCGTGGAGGCGGCGGCGGCGGCGGCGGAGGAGGAGGCGGAGGGCTCGGAGCGGTGCTGGGGCCCGGCGGGAGCGGGCCGGGTAGAGCCGAATAGAACCGAATAGAACCGAACCGAGCCGAGCCGAGCCCGAGGGGACGGGGAGGGAGGGAACGGTGCGAGCGCGGAACAGCCGTCGGCGGGAGGAGAGCGCGGCGGCCGGAAGAGCCGGCGGGAGCGGGCCCGGGCCGCGATGGAACGGAAGAGGTGGGAGCGCTCGGGCGGGCCCGGAGGGGTCGGTCCCGGAGGGGAGCGCGGTGGAGGCTCGGGGAGGAGCGGGTGGTGAATGGGGGGGGGGGGGTCGGTGCCGCCATCGCGTCGGTGGCCGCGGCGCGGGGGGCGCTGTGGGGCGGGCGGTGGAGCCCCCCTCGTGCCTCCGGCGCGGTTTGTGCTCGGTGGGGCCAGAGCGGGCTCCGTGAGGCCGGGAGCGGTTGGAGCCTCCTCGGGGCTCGGCTGCTGCTGTGCGTGTGCAGGTGAAGGAGTGAGCCGGGCGCAGGGTGCTCGGAGGAGCCGCGGCTGCCCCATCCCTGGCACTGCTCAAGGCCAGGGTGGACACAGGGGCTCGGAGCTGCTCCAGTGGAAGGGGTCCCTGCCCGTGGCACTGGATGAGCTTTAAGGTCCCTTCCACCCCAAGCCATGCCGTGAATCTGGGGGAGGATGGAGCAGGGCGCATTTGCCTGGCAGTGCCTGATGCTACAGATGGGAGCGCAGGGATGCCGGCTCCTCTGGGTATCGCTGCTAAAGGGGAGCATGGCTGCGGAGCTGGCTCTGCCAGGAGGATTTCATTAACATCAGCGTGTGTCTCATGGCTGTAGGTGGGTGTATGCACCCATCCTGCACACGGGAGAGGCAGCCTCAGTGCACCCGTGAGCCGAAGTGTGAAGCGTGGGGCTGGCAGAGGGAGCAGGATTGATCCAGGTGTGAATGTGTGCGGTCAGCTGCACGTGTGGGTTTCATTCCTTAGAGCGTGGTTCTGGGCATAGCTTCCTGTGCCCGGGGTGAGCACTGAATGCCAGCCTCGAGAGCGGGAGGCTGGAGGTGCAGCTTCACCGCTGCAGCTTGGGAGGAGGAAAGACCTCGATCAGCTGCTGGAGACACAACAGCGCTGGAAAGGTCCCTGGGTTATCCAAGAATGTGGAATAGAATGGAATGGGTTGGGTTGGAAGGGACCTTAAAGCTCCTCCAGCTCCAGCCCCTGCCATGGGCAGGGACCCCTTCCACTGGAGCAGCTTGCTCCAAGCCCCTGTGTCCAACCTGGCCTTGAACACTGCCAGGGATGGGGCAGCCACAGCTTCTCTGGGCACCCTGTGCCAGCGCCTCAGCACCCTCCCAGGGAAGAGCTTCTGCCTAAGAGCTCATCTCAGTCTCCCCTCGGGCAGGTTAAAGCCATTCCCCTTGGCCTGTCCCTACAGGCCCTTGTCCCAAGCCCCTCTCCACGTTTCCTGTAGCACCTTCAGGCACTGGAGCTGCTCTCAGGTCTCCCCTTCAGGAGCCTTCTCTTCTCCAGGCTGCCCCAGCCCAGCTCTCTCAGCCTGGCTCCAGAGCAGAGCTGCTCCAGCCCTCACAGCATCTCCCTGGCCTCCTCTGGACTCGCTCCATATCCATAAAGTTGTAAGGTTGTGGGTTCAGAGCTGACCATAAAAAAGAGGGGGGAGCGGATAAGGAGCATTTTTTCATTCCGAAGTTACGGATCTTGCCTTTATTCCAGTGTGGACAGGGATCCCTGCTGAGTTCCTTTTTGGTTGCTCTTGCAGTTTGTATTTTTCAGAGTGGGCAGCACGCGTGTGGCAGTTCCTGAACCCCTCTGCAGTTTCCATGTCCAGTCTGCATGGTTTGGCTGTGCGGGTGCAGTAAGTGTGTGTGGGGAATTGCACGCGTGGTTTGAAGTGCTCCTGCGTGCAGTCACCAGCGCTGAGGGTTAAGGCAGAGCCGCGGTGCTCGGGTGGCAGTTCCTGCTTTGCCAAACCATTGTTTTGGCAGATGTTTGGGCTCGTAGAATCAGTGCTGGAACCTCCTGCTCACCAGTGCAGAAATGCTTTTAACTGGAGTGCGTGCCCCTGTCTGCCTGGGGCTGAAGG